CTAAAACAATATGTCTTGTAGTGAAAGTTTTTAAAACTGCATTATGTATTGCTGTGAATTACTGAAGTGAATTATATACAAACTTCGCAGATGTGTACGTTCCTAAGCGGGAAACTGCATGTCTGTTTAATGGAAAAAGTGTTAGCTGTGTAAATAGGAGAACGTGACTTGTCCAGCTGTGCATCCATTACCCATTCAGAGCTGACTGAATACCTTCGTTGGTTCAATAATTCTCTCAATTTTGCAGAGCGTCACCATCGGTTTTGTGACATGAGCTTGTGCTCATTACACAGAACTCCAATACCAGCTCGGCTAAATCCAATAACAACAGCCATGCACTGTGACACAAGACCTTGTTAAAACTGTCTCCAGTTAGGATGGAGAACAAAACCATGTGACACAGGGATGGAACGCAATAGGGTGTTTATTGGGAGGGGGAGGTTCTGCATTATATTGAGGGCCAAAAAGAAAAGAGGTGTACTGGGACAACACACTGGTCATACAATGATAAGAGCTGAGTGTGGGGATGGGCATTGGTGTCTGGGTGTGTTTCCCAGTCTTATTTATTCATCCAGATTAAAAGTAGTAAAGAAAACGAGTGTGCTCACTATCTAGGACTCCTCCCCCCCCCCCCCATCTCACCTCACTGTGCAATCTTACACATGATCCATGTAAACAGAAGTAGCATTTTTGAGGCCGTAAGTATCACGGAACTCCCAGTCCATCCCTTGGTGCTTAAGATTAAACATAATGACAAAAGACACCTTCACACTAAAAACCTTCGATCATCTACTGATGAACTGGGCACTGTGTAAATCAGTCCGCCAGTGTGTGATGAATGAGCGTATGGTTAAGGACTATTAGGCAGCAATTAGTCACATAGTTAAAGGACCGTGCGAGCCACAGCAAGGTTACGGGTTCGACTGTGACACAGAGCCGCACTAACGCCCAGCACTTAACGGGAGTATAACCATCCAAACTGCATAACCGCGTGGTGATCCGGGAAAAAAAATATGGAAGATGTGTCTCTTAAAAACAGGTGGTCTGTCGATTACTGATAGCTGTTGCATTGGGAGATTGGTTGAAGGATGTCATGGGCAATCTGTTTCCCAGAAGGTACGGTACTTTGCAGCTTAAACGCGCAAGTCTGCCAGAAAACGAGCCGTATTGACACTTTGTCTCATTGATGAAGGTGCTGCGGGGACCTGGCGTAACTGTGCGAGTTATACGGAGCGCGGCCTCGCCATCTTACGCGGCCTGGGGGCGATTAGCCGAGCTGAATGGCAGCGACATGAAAGGCGGGGACGCGGCGTGGTTTTGGCACGAGACGAAAGTGTGGGCGAGCGTATACCTCCCTGCCATGACAGCCTGCGAGTAGCGAGTCTGCACGTGGTGGCTAGCAGATTTGGAGGGTTCCCTTCAGAGCGTGACTCTCTGTGGCTGTGGCTCATTCATCCCTGCACCTGGCCCTTCTCTGCACTGCGTGGGAGTGTGTATGTGTGCACGTGTGTGTGCACGTGTGTGTGTCTCTGTGTGCGTGTGTACGTACATGTATGTGTTTTTCTAATCCTGTGTGTGCATTTTACTTAGAATTGTCCCTAGCAGCATACAGTGGTATGAGAGAAGACCTTAAGGGAACAGTTCCATGAGATAAAATTTCTCTTTTCTTTAAGAAAGCAGTGGGTGGGGCTGAGAATGGGGGGCGGGGCTTCCCTCCCAATGAGAAGGTCCTTTGATCTGATGGTCTCCCAGGTCCCCCTCCCCCCCCCATCCATCAACGGCATACATTTGTGTCTCATTAGAAGTCACTTCAACCCCACGGTTCCATTGTTGTAGCCAGCACCCAATGGAACGAGGTCGTGATCAAAGGGACAGCAACCCCCCGCCCCACACACACCACCCCAGCTCCCTGCCACCCCATCGCTGCTCCCCAGCCCCTCCAAGACCAATCCCTTGCTTTGGCCCGTTCCAGGGCAGCCCAGAACATGGATGCGAGTCTCAGCGGTGAAACTTTAATATACTGGTGCTGGGGTACTTAGTGCTAAATTAAAAGATGTATTTGATCATCGGGTAGGTGCGCTTTGCATTTCATCAATATTAGCCGTATGTGCAACCGCCCACTCTGTGCACCTTTAATCTAGACAAATAAATCATAAAATAATAACCTGCTTGCGTTTACATTTCAGCTTAAATATGCTTCTAATTCTGAGGGTACAGAATTCTAAAAACCAAGTCTTTATTGTTAATTTTTCTTTGAAATATTTTTTTCAATTTTTGTAATGGTTGCTGCAGTGGTCTTTGGATTTTCATTTCTTTGAATGATAAAAATTATCATGCATCAGTCCAGAACACATTTGCAGGGACGCTGGCTGTCTTAGGTCCCCCACTCGGGGTAGGGGGGGGTTCATCTTAAGCCTGCCATATTTTGCCAGGGTAAAATTTCAGTCCATTGAAATGCCAAGGAACATTAATGTGCTATCGGGGAATTCCCTGAAATGGACTGGTGACGAGCGTGAAAATGACTACTTGGTCACGTCACCAGGACATCGTATTTGTGGGGAAGATTTGCGTTGCTGGGTTGAGACGGTGAAACGTTGTTTCATTTTATTATTTTTTTTGAGTCTGCTGACACCTCGTGCAAGAGGGTGATGGCAGCGTTGGGAAGCTCGGTGTGGGATGGGAACTGTGGCTAATGGAAGCCGTTCCATTTCAGAAGCATATGATCTGTCATCGCTTGGAAATGCAGATGCCGTCTCAAATGATAGGCCTGAAAAATTGAAACATCAATTTACATTACAATCCTCTGACACTAAACATGATTTATTTACCCCACACTTCCTCCTGTTTCCCCATATGCCCGTCTACGTCCCTGTCTTTCGCTTGAACCGAGGAGGGAAGCACACGGGGATTCTCACATGCCGTCCTGCTCAAAGAGGAACAGGTTGAGATACCTCAGGGTACAACCCAGGGCCGGGAAGAGCATGGGAGAGATCGATTGCCCTAGCCAAAGGGATTATGATCTATTGCCGCGGCATCGTCAGCATGATCCTGGCACTTCTCAGCTTCAGTGTGCGGAATATCAAAATTCTCATTGTGTTCTTTAAAACCCTTTTGATTTTTTTTTTATTGAAACTACCTTTGGCAATATCATTTCTAGTCATTCACAGCTGTACTAAAAAGTCTGTTATTATTTTAATGAAACTGGCAAGCCAGTACGTCAGATGTCATTGCTGGTTTTTAAAACCTTGCTTCAGATCACTGACTGTTACTGATTTCACACTCCCCCTCCTCTTAGAGCAGGGCACAAATATGGGTGTTTTCCTGGCATTTTGGGGGGGTGTGTGATGCCTACAGTGTCACGCCCCCTCCCGGTGAAAAGGTGTCCCGACATGATGGCAGTCTGACAGCTCTGACAGCCTCCAACCCATCGGCTCGTCAATACGGATTTTTGGGCCCGGCTGTTGGATCCGACTTAAGGCATGTGTAAACGCCCGTGTCCGGCGCCCTTCGTTAGGACGAGGCTTCGGTGACGTGGGGCTGGGCGCGCAGCCCGACCGGGGTGATCCTTCTGAACCCCGTGCTTTTTAGGTAGAGACCTCGGTCTGTTTGGCCGTGCCTTTCGCCGAGGTCGAGAGGACCTTGCTGACGAGGATTCAGGTGGTGCCACAGTCCAGTGAGTCAAAGCTTTACAGATGCAGATTCTGCAACCCCATGGCTAATTAGCCTGACTCCATTCAAAACACTGCTTTCTGCTGAATTCCTTTCCCTCCGCTCATGTTTTTGCACCTGCCCCAGATTGCTAATGAACAAATTTGGTTTAATTTGAATGTTAAAAATATTCCATTAACAAAATACATTGCTGACAATAAAAAAAAAAAATCTGTTTTTTTTTTTTACATCTTAAATATTTCTGTCTAATTAGATTAATGAGTCACTGCAAGCACATAGCATGCATGTCTGCCTGTGTGTTATGCGTGCACACGCATGTGTGTAGAGCACATCGCACTGGAGAATACTTACAGGGGAATGGGGAGCTTTTATGGGGTTGAGGAATGCTTGCATGGATGTACGTGCATAAACTGACCTGTCTGTATGCTCTGTGTGCATATATGTATGTACTCTTGTTGAAGATATTTGAAAGTTCTAGCTCCTTCAGACATACATGTGATTCTCATGACGGCATGAGAATCATTATGTCTGTATGTATTATATTTGCACACACACGCACACCTTTCCATGTATTGTGTGCATGGACATATATACGTATGCCTTTACGTATAAATTATATGTATATAATTTATAATGTGTGCACAGACCAGTCCATGTGTCTTTATCTGTATATTATTCTGATGTATAAAAATAGACGGATTCTGAAACTGTAAATCAGAGTTTGTTATTTCCAATTAAATTGGAGTCCTTGAGAAAAGAAACGAGAGGAAAATCTATACTCTGTTAGAAAATGCAGCTGGGATCTTTTTTTTTTTTTTTACAGAGAAAACCTTGTATTGGAGGAGAACATTTAAAGTGATGATGGAGATGAAAGCTGTTTATCACCAAAGGCTCTTTTAATAATCAGTGGCTTTTTTACAATGTAGAAAGGCCAGAGAAGCCTTGGGATGGAGAACCTCCACTTAATTTCAGTTTCGTACAGAATAACAGAAAGAAGTGGCTCGAACTGCAGTCAAATTCCGCACCAAGTTCAGCTTTTATTCGCGTGCAGAAAAAACAGCTTTAAAGTATGATCCCCAGTGAGATTAAGTAGCCTGATAACAACCAAAGTGGCTGCTTAAAAAAGATAATAAAACATGAAACGAAAATAGATTTTTTTTTTCCAACAGTACATACTGTATGTGTACATGGTTGTATATATGTAAATATATACAAACATACAAATGGCAGAGGCCATCAAAAAAGGGATTCAGCTGTTATTTTCAACTGTATAATTTGTGCAGTACCTAAGCCAGATTCCTAACAGAAGTCTTTCCGTGTTTGATTGACAGCTGAGGACACATGTGGTGGTACTCTGAGAGGTTCAAGTGGGATCATTTCAAGCCCCAATTTCCCGAGTGAATATTACAATAGTGCGGACTGTACGTGGACCATACTTGCTGATCCCGGAGACACCATCTCCATCATTTTTACAGACTTCCAGATGGAGGACAAGTATGACTACTTAGAAGTGGAAGGATCAGAGCCACCAACAATATGGTGAGTTTCCCTGTGTTTCTGTGTGTTGTTTTTCTCCCCCCCCCCCTTCTTGTTTTTTGGTTTTGTTTAATGTAACTTCAGGATGCTCCCACGTGCTGTTATGTTTGTCCTTAAAGTGGGTGGAAACTGTTTGCATGTAAATGGTGCCACTGGTCAGCACTGGTCATGAAAAGCGTGCCCGCCCTCCATTCACACCTACACACATATTTGGTGTTTGCAAACACTCAGGTTACCAGTACAGTTCTCTCCTCACACCAGGCTGTGTTATCACACTAGGCTCCAGACCCGCACCTGCACAGACGGACAGAGGTATGGTTAAAAGCTTTACATCTGTGTTTCCCAACCCAGTCCTGGGGGACCCACAGATGGTTCACGTTTTTGCTCCCTCCCGGCTGCCTGCCAGACAGTCCACATTATTGCTCACTGCCAGCTCCAGTTAAGAGCAAAAACGTGGACTGTCTGGGGTCCCCCAGGACTGGGTTGGGAAACTGCTTTACACAACCAGAATGTATAGTCAAAAAACATTTTAAAACATAAAAATGCAAGTACTTGAATACTGTGCTTAAACATAACATCAAGCATTTGGTAGAATAATCGTGAATTCAGACTGATAGATCATGTTTTGTTTGGTTTTCTTTTGTCCCAGCGATCTAAGGGTTAAAATGTGGCACAATTCCAAGGAAGTGGCATATTTGAATTAATAAATTTAAAATAAAAACTGTAGCAGCTTTTGGAACTTGAAGTCTGGAAATGTGGCGGCAGTTTTATGTAAAATCCACACAGCTTAAAGGAGCATTTTGCACAGGCCCTGGCTGGGATTTGGATGGGAAAGTAATTTTTGCGGAATGTCTTGCTATAGCTATGCACCAGAACCTGGAGGATCGGTGTTTGTGAAAAACCACATAGGTTTAATATACTAAGCCAAAAATAAAATGTTTATTATAAAAACTCTTACGTTTTCCTCATAGGAGACTGATGTCCTGGGTCTTACTAACTATTGTACTTTGTAGTAATTTCATACATTGTAGCAATGCAAACATGCAGTATATGTCTAATAATACTCCAGTTTTTAAACTGAAAACAAGACGAATGGTTTCCTATTGTTCATTGGAACAAGAAGCAATGTTGGGCATTTCAGGTGCAGAAACTTCAAATCCAGACCAAGATTTTGTTTCTACCGACCAGTTATAGAGTCACAGTCACAGTGTACTCAACTGGTTGGTTAAAACAAAATCTTGGTCTGGAATTGTACTTTCTGGACTTGAAATGCCCAACACTGACAAGAAGATGTGGTTAATTAAGCTTTAGACCTTAATTATGATACAAAGAATAAAAGTGAAATATTTCTTAAAAGAGCCTTAAAAACACTACTTGTCTGTGCATAATGCTTTACTGCTGCATTATTGTATTTATATATCATTTGACATTGTGTGCTAGATACAAACATCAATTCCTTTTTTCCTGGAATGTTTCTTTGGGCTTTGTAGCTCAACTTCACCCTCTATAACAAGTTTCATTAAAATTTATTTTACAATAATTATGATTTTTAAAATTAATGACCTGAATACACAATGAGTTTTCACTAAACCTGTAGCTGAGAAAAATATTTTAACGTTGCGACCAAGTTGTTTTTTTTTTTTAAAGCCTTCATGTCTTCCTTTGTCCTGCAAAGCTGACTTTGAAAAAATCAAAATATAGAGAATTGCCATGAATATTTAATATCAGATCGATTGCACGCCCGTTGGCAATGTGTGTTATTGATATCTTCCTGTATTCAAAGCCCCGCACCACCAAAGCCAAAATCTGTGCTCCGTGGATGTGGCTCCATTCACGTTGTGATAAACACTTGCTCAAAGCCACTGAGCAGGATTGCCTGGAGAAATGAATATGAATTAATGCTGGTTTGCGTTTGTTTTTTTTTTATTTTTTAAAGTGTCAAGCTGAATGCCAAGTCTAAAAACAAGCCAAAACTCCTCTAATTTTCAAAGCAATCTGTATAAATCTGATGTAAATAAATTTCTTGGGCAGATCCTGGTTCTCTTACCACACTACACTAGGATGGAAAGGCCAAAGTTCCCTGTGTTTTAAAAATATAAAATACCATCAATGTGTGATGATATTCTATGTACTTGTAATCATTTTTTTTTTATTGTCGAATCGCCTTCTTGGTTGTTGTGTCCTCTCCATTTGTAAAGCTGTCATCTGCTCCAGATATCATTCCAAGTGTTGAAGATACTCGTCTATTTTGTCATTGGTTGGTGTATGTATGCATGTCTAGACTGGTTTGGAATAAGTGTATATGAGTTGGGCATGCCCGATTGAACTTTTACTCACCATAGTATTTGGCCCCCAAGATTATAGTTGTTTGTATTCAAATGCAAATTTTAATTCCTGGAACATGCAGCCATGTTTGCATTGATGATACAGCAGGGCTGTACTTTTAATTAATTTATTTTTAATAATATGGCTACTTATTAGCGTCTGTTCCCTGAAGTTACACAGTAATTTAGTGATGCACCACGCAACAGCTTGTTCAAGTAAGGTCTTCCTCAGCTTCATTCTAGTATATAGAACAAAATTGGGACAAGAAGTTGCAAAAACAACTAAGGAAACCGAAAATAACAATTGCGAAACACAGAAAACCAACTCCTGCTTTCCGAAACATCTCGGCTTTGAGCTGCTGTTTACTGGTAAGGTGCCTGATATTTTCTCACTCCCTACATGCACCCCGAAGACCCTGATGAGGACAGTAACCTAATTAGGGTCACTTGGGTTTCATTACCCAAGCTGCTTGTTGGCCCCAAAGCTGGTGATCAATCACCATGGAGACACAACTGATCAGTTTAACTCAGGTCCATGCAATCAGTCTACGTTGCATTTGGCTACACATACGGTAGTTTGACCAGATCTGGAGGAAAATTATCAAAATGTATGAAACTGTCCTCCAAGCCTTATTAAAAATACAGTGGTACCTCAGAACTTGAATTTAATCCATTCAGAACTCCAGATCGAATCCTCAAAAGTTCGAGTTGTGATCGAATTTTCCCCATAAGAAATAATGGAAAACCAATTAATTGGTTCCCGGCCCCCAAAAATTACACCTAAATTTGTTTTTTTTAGCATTTAAACACAAAATGAACTGGATAAAACAAGAAGAGCATATACTGTACTAAACACATCTAAGCACATTTATCAAAACAGTAATCTGTAAAGTAAAAAAATAAATGTATCCGAACAATGTGTCCTGCCCCGATTGTCCGCTCCTTCCGTGTGCCACGCCCCCTCGTTAACCTCATGTGGAATCCCCGTGTTATCAGCTGTTTCTGGCTATTGTCATTAGTCCTCTGTATTTCGTCCGCGTTTCAGTTTGTTTCCCCAGTCTGGTCATTGTATTGTCCGTCTGCGTTTTGCCTGCCTTACCTGTAATTAAACCCCGTATTCCCCGATACCCTGACGTCTGCGCCTTTGTCTCCGTTCCGTCCCTGCTCAGCACGACAATATTATTATAATTAAACGTTTTAATGGTTTATTATTAATATTAAAATAATGAATAAGAAATCTTTATTTTTAAATGCATTTTATTATATAATAATAATTACTGTTACTGTCATTGTCTAAATGTATTTTTACTGTCTAAATATATGCATTCAGCTAGTGTAAACATGCACGATAATATCACAGCAAATACGAGGCTGAGACTGAAGTGTTACCCTTTGTTTCCGCTGAGAGACGTGCTGCGTGACTCATTTCCCCGCGCGTACAAGTTATCTTAGGTCGGCGTTCACGGTTTGACTTCTGAGATTCAGATCGAGCTCTAGGTAATTTTTTTTAGAACGGGTTTGTTCGACTTTTAAGAAATTCGAGTTCTAATTAGTTTGAGAACTGAGGTACCACTGTAGTTCCACACTGATTTCATTATTTTATCACCGGATTTAGGTTTGGCAATGACCATAGTGGAGATATGAGTTTCTGTGTAACATTTTTTATTAAACCACACGCCTTTGCTCAGTCCACCTGTTTAATACATATTGATGCAAATGAAAATAATAAACAGATCATCCTCTGTGTTTGTATTTATAAAGAAATCACAGCAGATGTCTATGAGTATTACAGTGTGTATACAAAATGTAATTAAAATACTGTGATCTCGTAATTAATTCATTTGAATTGAGCTGTCCCTGAGAAGATGGATGCATTTTGAGCACCATTCACTGTATTTTATCGAGTGTTTGGTCTTACCTTAGAAGTGAATCTGGGAATTGGATTGATCAATGTTGTTTACAGTTCGGCCCCGGGTGTCTGACGGATTCCTCCGCCCGCCCCACAGACTGACCTTGTGCAACAAGCCATGCATCTCGAGGAAGCATCACTACCTTTTTTATCTTTCGACTCACCAGTGTCTGGCATGGAGAAGAAATGCAACTCGAGATTACATAGGCAGTCCCAGGGCAGATGCCATTGGCAACTAAGCAAAACCTTGACCAATTAAAGAGCACTGAAAATAAGAATGTAGGGTGCTCTCATCATTTTCTGAGCAATAGGTTATGATGGCCACTGGTTTCGTCCAGTTGAATGTCTCATTTTCAGTTTCATTTCCCTCTAGTGACTTTTTGCCAGATTCCCCATTTGCCCATTTTAATCTCCCATGTAACGCGTCAACATGTATGATAAAATCGACTCTCAGACTCCCTGCTGTTCAAGGCATGTCTGAATGTCCCTGAAGCTTCACAGCTCCGCTTCATTTACTAACAGACGCATTTGCATGCGTACGCGTTTGTTCAGCAGGGAGTCCATCTTGTCCTGAAATATTAATCAGACCCGAGCTGCTGTGCTTAGAGCCTGAAGGAGTTAAATGGGATATGGTCCCTCCTTGGAGGCCCAGGAGAAATAAAGGGAGTTGTAGGTTTCACAATGTGATGATGGTGCTCTGAACATGACCATCTTCTGAAGTTTTTCTATAACAGGGGTCTCACCAGGGACAGTTTTAAGGGGCGTGTTAT